CCAGTCCCCGTAAGCAGACGTGCTGCTCCATTTTGAACCAATTGCAACTTCTGGGGTGCTTTCAAGGGCAACCCCATATAGAGAGTATTACAGTAGTCAAGCCAAAAGGATACCAGGGTATGGATTACTCTTGCCAGATTCTTCCTGTCCAGATAGGAACAAAGTTGGTAAATCAACCAAAGCTGATGGAAGATGCTTCTGGCCACAGAACCCATGTAGTATTCAAGGGACAGCTCTGGGTCCAGAAGTGCCCCCAAACACTGTCCTTTAGGGGGAGTGCAACCCAACCCAGGACAGGGTGGCATCCACCATCTGGACAAGGAAGCCATCAACAGCCTGTCAGCATTAAGCTTCAATTTAATGGTCCTCATCGATTACCTTTGGCCAGGCATTGATTCAGAACCATCACTCTCTCATCTGGATTAGATGGAAAAGAGATATAGAGCTGGTGTGTTCTGTTATATTTTGCAAAATTCAGTAAAGGTACTAATAGTTCTTTAATGCTACTTGAAAAGGTTGGCTATTTAGTTCCTGTACAACTAAAGAAAGAATCAAAAGAGCATTCTGTTAAGTGGCATTTAGGTGGGATAAGAAGGCACTCCTTGACTTTCCAGGTGACCCTACAACCATCCTGATTCTTTTCACCCGAATGGACGTGAGTCTGGTCTAACTATTACATGCCATTTTTTGCCCAACTAAAACTATCCCATTTTCCATTTGCTCCCACTTCAGGTACTACTTTTACCTACAGTGTACTACTAGCATTATTCCCTGAGATACATTTTCTTCGAAACATTATAAATGGGCTTCAGACATTTTGATAGCTAGGATGGAATTTTGAGGTGTTACCTCCAAATGTGCATTTTAACAATGGAGGTGTGGTTAACACAATCTTTTTGCTTTGTATATTTTGTTGCCCTTGCGAGAAAATGAGCTCATCTTTAAGGACAACATCACCTCCATTGCCATTAACACCAATCACAAAATGCAACTCTGAAAATCTGAATAGTGTTATAAATAGTAATATTCTTGAATTATGAGGCCTTCAGAGACCCATAAAACCCAGGAACTAAATGTTTTTGCCTGTGATGGGAATAATACTGTAAAAGTCATAAGTGATTTTGGAGACAAGAAAACAATTAGCTTGTCATCATTACAAATACATGCAAAAATAATTGAATTTTGATCATAATTCTTCTCCTCCCTTGAGATGTATACCATGTAGTGGCATATTTACAATGCATTATCCAGATATAGAAAGATTGTAACCATAGCTTTGTTGCCCAAAGGAAGATTAAAATGAGATAACTTTTCATATCTGAGATAAAGAGGTTCAGTAGTAGTCTACGTTTCAGTAATAAATTGTAATGTCTTAATCAAATGAAATTTGCACTTCTCATCTGTATTCATGACAGCCTTGACCTGCTCTGTCTCCAGAGGCTGCACTGCCTAATCTGACTTAAAATATCGTGATAGAATAGCATATACTTCAGTTATATTACTCAAGCTTATTAGGAACATCAACGTCGATCGTACAAAAGCTGCCGTCCATTTGTTACAGCTGTGTTAGCTATCATTAAAGGCTGCAGTCCATAAACCATGTAATCTAGAATACCTCCTTGAATTATCACACACAGTTAAAACATTGAGACTCACTAGCCTTGTCCACTGGCTCAAAACATGTGACTTTATTTGATCATGTAATTATGCTAGATGTTGATAAATAATTGACAATGGCTATTATCCACCAAGCACCACTCCTGCATGATGTACATCCATTTTAAATAGTGATTGCGTGGCAACAGCACTTGATGGGACTGTGATCAGTAATTATGTGAAGCTCTCTAATGAGATCTGTTCTGAACAGGTTGCTTCTCTCTTAATTGTTTAATTAGGTGAAGTTAAAAAAAAAAAAAAGGAAGGTGGCTTCACCTTCACTGGAAAGCATCCAGGCTAACAAGCTGAATTCTGCATAGGCCCAATCGTTTCTGTTACTCTAGAGTTTCCTGTAGTAAATCTATATTTAAGTTGATGATACTTACGTTGCTTGCATTTAGGAGTGCCAAACTAGAGGGAAGCTCTAAGCACAGATTGTTTTAACAGCAGTTATGAGGAACAGACCTGTATATGATATAGCTTGGTATTGTTTTATACATGTGTGCGCACACACTCACAGTTTTGAACCAATTTAAAGGATGTGTAGATTTAGCTAAAAGTGGATGGCATAGCTCACTGTTTTCCCACACTTTGAAGACTAAAGTGCTGTTTTTCATTCTTCCACAGTGTGATTTATATGCCAATCCATATCATTCTCTCTAATAGCAAAAATGGGGGGTTGACTGCTTATCAGATTAGAGTAGAAACAAAGTTGAAACACCCCAAAATAAGTCTGGGTTTTCCCTATACTTGGGAGCCTCCCTAGGTACCAAGAAAGTTATTATTTAGTCAGACACAAGAAAATGACTGCTTTAAACTCCTGGAAACATCCTAGAAAAGGTGTGAGCTTCCAGGACTTAGGGAACATTGATTGATAACTGTTGAACAGAAAGAGATAATAAATGCTGCACTAAATTATCCCATTGTCTGAAGATGGACAATTTCCATTGTCTAAAAATTTCCTATTTTCTTGGAACTTTTTCCCCTTCCCTGTGATGGGCATGTGATGGCCCATACAATATGATGGAGAATCCAGGGTTTTAGTGTAAGTATAATTCAGCAGTAACTTCTCCACTCAGAGTAAGAAGGTCTCAGCAAAGGCAGGAAGTTGTGCTGTTTCCAACTTTGGTGAAAAGCATGTGCTAAAAGGAACAAAAGACTTCTGAGGGTAATCAAACATGAAATCTGGACCAGGGTTCTGTCTGTGGTGAGAGGGGCATTAGGCAGATCTTTGCTAGCCTATAAACCAGCTTCAGCAGTGCCTCTAATCTACAATATGAACATAGGGTCAAAGGAAAGGTTTCAAGTGACAAACAGGGGAATGAAAGGATTTCATTGCTTTGCCATTTTTCCTGCCACTATTTTTTCACTGTATCTTGTTTCCTCCTTCATAACCACCTTCCATTTCTGTTATCTGCACTTTCCTGCATAGGTTATAAATATAAAAAGAAGAAAAGCAACAACATTCTCATATTCTTAGAAGGTAGCAGACTAGAGTCCCCTTTTGCCTTGTCAGAGATGTGGTTGCCACTTACGGGATCTTGCATAAAGAAGGACAAGCCAGGCAAGGGCTTCAGCATCCTTCACTGATTTTCTGTATGCCATCACAGCTAGAATGCTCAGTCAGCACAAACACCTGAGACTGAGGCACACGCACCCACGTATGGAAAACCTATCTGTTACAAACACACACACAGTAAAACTGTCACGTTGTCACAGCAGTGTTTCCCTTATTACTGTCTTCTGCCAACATAAGAAAATCTGAATACAGGTTTGCTGGTTTAAAAATTTTGTGGGAAAAATCTAATTATCACAGAAGAGACATGAACTATTCCAGCAAGCCATCTTGCACACTATGCTTGGTTGGCATGTCACAACAAACAACCATGTGTGGTTTCCATGGTGCACTTCTTTTGTCTGGATGTGGCTGACAGAGAATTAACTGGTCTGTATGCTAGCTTGGTTTCCACCCTCCTTGCTCAGTCCTCCCATGTTGGCAAATATCCCATCAGCCACTGTGCCTGAAAATGATACGCTGAATGGCACTCTGAGTAGTTGCATGTTCCTGCTCCAAGTAGGGCCAAGTTTCTAAAAGTGGGACATAACATGCTGAAATACTGCGAAAGCTGGTTGTAGTGGCTAAAATTTTGGCAGCTCAGTTAAAGCATTCCAGAGTTTGCGCTAATTCATTTAGAGTTGCAGAATTGAGCAATTACACAGAAAACAGGTATCATTGCCGGGAGATAATTGTATTCTGACTGGATTGATGCCTTAAAACAAAGTGCTACAGTTTCTAAGACTGTTAGTAGTAATTATTTGAAGAACAGAGACAGGAACTTAAAGGAAAAAATGGAATCTCACCAGATGAGCTGGGAGGGAGAGGGCTAAGTAAGTTACGATGCTTCTTCAGGAAACCTTTATCTGTCCTATGCAATGTATTGTTTGATCAAGAAATCTTGAAGCCTCTTTGAATCTTCAATCTCATGGTAATAAAGGCCTTTCCTGCCTTCCTTACACCCTAGAAATGGAACCACTTCTATTTTTATCCATCTTCAGCACTTCTTTTATTGTATCTTCTATTTTATTCTCTTGTTCAGAACTTCCTTGCCACACATTCGGGAGTATCCAAGCTGTTGGTTGCCCTTGGACAAATCTGGGACCTCAGTCCCATTCCTGGCACCGAGGTTTCTGATTCCAACAACAGCTAAAGCCTCCCCCTCCCCATGCCTTATTTATGTGAAAGGTCTCCATACAGTTGAGAGAAAGCGAGTCACGCTGCTTTCTCCACCTGTGGTATTGCACAAGCTCCACACAGTGAGTGAAGCTGCAACAGGGGAGGGATAGTATGCATGGAAGATGGCTCATGTGATCGACAGCCCCAGTGTTGCATGGCAGAGCCTCCACGAGTACAACTTTCGTTCAGCTCATGGAGATGAAGGGGCTGTGGCAGGAGGCCGGAGCACTGCTCCACAGCAGTCTGTCTGCTGAGATCAGTAAGACGCCTGTTTTGTGGATGGGTTGATGGAATGTTCATTTTTTACCCATTTGATAGGAACACTATTTCTCTTCAGTGCTGGCATAATTCCTGTAGAATGCTGGCATAACCTTAAACTACTATGACTGATATTGACCCTGCTACCGCTGATCTCCTCTCTCTCTTTACATTTATTGGACTGCCAGAGCAACTCTTGGGATCACCTAGGAAATCCTTTATTTATTTATCTGTTTATAGCCATAGAACACAGTCATGTGCTGTATGACAATGGAAGAAAATGGGCCAGCAGGATTGAGAATATTTGTGTGATATCAACTTGAATTACCTGTTTCTCTGTCCTTTCATGCAGCACTTTGTGATCCACCATGTGAGAATGGAGGAACATGCATCACGCGGAATGTCTGCTCATGTGTTTATGGATTTGTTGGTCCTAGATGTGAGACAAGTACGTATATTGTTCTTAATGGTCTTTGATACTTTTTAGACAGGTAAGAAGTAACATGACAGATGCAAAAACAGGGAGGAGGGAGAATCCAGCGAAGCCCGTCCATTCCTGGAGCTGCTCCTGTCAGTGGAGCAGTAAGGTGACACGTCCGCCTCCCCCATGCTTTGAAAATCTGCTCCTGGAGGCCCTTTGGGGCAGACGTTGAGGGGGAACAAGGCTGCAGGAGGGAGAAGTCCTTTGGCACTAGCAGATGCTTGCTTACGCAACGTTCAAACGTGCACACACACACTTCCTTTTTTCGATCATCTCTGTATTTTTCATCAAGGTTAGCTTAGAATGCAATAGGAAATTCAACATAAATGTATTTTGTATTTATAAATCCATTTAAGATTAAATAGCACCTTCATTCCTCATGCCGCGCTTCCAAGTGCACATTAGTATTATGTACATCTTTGCCAATAGTTACTGTGCAACAGCACTGATAGTAGGAGAAGATTTGTTTAGGGTCATGCTCGTGAAATCCAAGGCTATGCAAGCGAAGGCATTCAGGCTTGTAAAATATAAAAGGGTGGTTAGGGCAGCTTGAACATCTCTATTGAGATTCAAGATATTGTTCCATAAAGGTAGCAAACTATGCTCCATATAAATCCTATTTTTAAAGCAAAAATAAAAACAAAGCCCACCTTTAACTATACTCACATTACATCTAAATTGCCAAGACTCTACACTTCTACAACCTTCACTTTTTGCTCCGTATTTGAATATTAAATGAATTGTCCTTGATGAATTTTTGTTTTCATTTTTGCACTGTTGTAGCTGGGCTCTGTAAATTTTTTCTGTATAAATCCTTTCGGATGAGCATATAATTCAGTAGAAAGAAAATGAATGAGGCAAAATGCTTGAGATGTCCATAAGTGTTCTTGGTTTCACTTGGTTCAACTTGAGCAAAACCCAGGGACTCATCCTTTGCACTATGATGCCTAATTTGCCTTCCAGTGGTATGCAACAGGCACTGTCACAACGGAGGGAGATGCGTGGCACCAGATGAATGCGAGTGCAAGCCAGGATGGAGCAGCCCATTGTGTGAGACAGGTAAACATCGCAGTATTCCGCTTCCACGTCAGGGTGCCATGCCCACGGGTGGAGGCACTGCCAGTGCATTTTCTGGAGCTTGATGGACCCTTGGTCTGTACTGACCCACAAGGCACTTTCCTACGTTCCTAAGCAGCAGCTTTAATTTGCCCTTTGCAGAGTATGCATATAAAGCCTGCACGACATGTAATACACCAAGTCAAATGCAACCTGCAAGACATGTAGGACTCCCTATAAATGACTAAGCGAATGACTACTGTGATATTGGTTGGAGGGCACATGATGCAGCCACCTTGCTAAAGCTCAGCAGATCTGGGTTTGATCAGTGCTTGGGTGAGAGGCCATACAAGAACTGTGTGTGCCACCTTGAGTTCCATAGTGGAAGAAAGGTGGGATTTAAATGGCCTAAATGAATGCAATAGAAAAGTGCAACTTCTGCTGTCTGCTGGGACCGCCTTTTTAGGTTCTAAAGCATTTGGCAGGCCACAATATACAGATGGTGAACTGCACTGGTAGATCACAATATGGAGAGGACATTATTATTATATGACATAATAAATAGGGAAGTATACTTCACTTTCTGATCAACAAACAATGAGAAATCATACCCTAAATCTTTTCATTAGTCTAATTACAGTAAGTTGAGGAAAGCCATCTTCCACAAAGGAGATATGTTTGACCTTAGGCAAGCAGGATGACCTTAAACTTTTTTTTCAACTGGAGTGATCATGCAACAGAAGCAGAAATGCCTGAACACTGGAGTAAATGGTCTTGAGGATAGCTGTCGACGGAACGGAGAGCTTGAACTGATGCTCTCATAAATTTGTGTGAACTGTGGGCTAATACCATTCAGATATTTTGTATAATAATAGTCTGAACATAATGCATATCTTCAGCACATAATCCAGGGGAAATTAGGCACATGTTTGTACAGATGAGCTTCAACTCACATGGTTTCAGTGGCAATTAGTTGCACCTATTTTCTCTGGATATTTTTTTTGTTTCTCTGGATGCATTTATGTATTTATCTGGCCACATACAGTGCTCATTGATTTTAGGGGAAGATCTGCATGCCTACCTGGTCATATTCAATTTGCCAGCTCCTAGCATAGTTTACAGATTACTCAGACCAGAGAACAAACCTTGAAATGTGTACTTATAAGCCCAGTAATTTGATCCAGAAACCAATAAAATAAGTTGGATTTCCCTTAAGCTGTCCTCGTCTTGCTGAAGTCAGGGAAACCAAGATTAGTTTTGAACGCAAATACCAGTTTAAATGCTTTATAGACTGTTTAGATGGAATTCTCAAATTCTTTGCAGCTATGCTAAAATACAGCATATAGCTCTTATATCATGATCAATGGAATTATGGAGGATAAGGTCATGAACAGGTACTAGACCTGATGGCCATCAGCCACCTTCCATATCAGAAGCAGTATGTCTGTGTACATCAGCTGCTGGAGAACCTGAGCAGCAGGGGGCTCTTGCGCTCATGCCCTCTTCATGAGTTTGCTATAGGCTGCTGGTCAGTCACTGTGTGAACAGAAAGCTGGACAGGATGGGACTTTGGTTTGATCCAGCATGGCTCTTCTTATGTTCTTAATATAAGTAGGATCCATTGTATGAGGAATTTAACTTCCACTATATTTCCAACAAGCAGGGAAATTCTTCCTTGCTTCCATGGGCCAAAAAATGCATTTCTCCAAAACAGACTCAGAAATACAAACCTAGCTGGGAGAGATATTGCAAAACAAATATAAAATAAAGCATAGTTCTGGCATAAGAAAAAAAACAGACTGAGGATCACAATCCAGTGCTGACGTAGGTCTAGTTTTCTATTGCGAATTCTGTTTAAAACAAGAGTACTTCATTTTTAAATGGAAAGCCAGGGAGTTCTCCCTTAAATAAAGTATCCTATTTTTCTTTTATGCGCAGCTGTTTGCAATCCTGTTTGTCTAAATGGTGGGACCTGCATCCGGCCAAATACATGTGCGTGTCCATATGGCTTCTTTGGGCCTCAGTGCCAATCTGGTGAGTTGGTACAAGATAATTCCAGTGATGCAAATATAGCACCCTCTCCCAATTGTGTTATGCCTTCACCAATTATGTAGTATTTCCATGTATATTACAATTGCAGACAAAACCAATCCTATACCATTTGGCTACCATATTTTAGAACATGTATATAATAATATTGCAAGTGTCCTCTTCTTATAGTTTTAAACTATTCTATACTACTTTTAACAACAAAATGATTTGCACTTTTAATTAACTTAATTCCATGGTGTGAGTCAACAAAATATCACACAGTATAGATAATGTTTTACTAACCACATCAAAGTATATTCACATTTATAGGAAATGGCCTGATACATATCTATATTAAGCTAAATTCAATGTAAATGACAGGACCTGACTATAAATTAGTTTGCTGGCTTACTAGTCAAGAGCTTGAACTTTCTCTGACTGACTTGCTTTTACACCCACAAAAACAGACCCAGTTCTTTCCTCTTTCTTCCATCCACCAGCATAAACTTTTGTTTATCTATGGAACACTCGTGTCCTAATCTAATCCAATCAGAAAATTTAGAATTCCAAACAACTACATAGCATTTTTAAGTTTTTAAACCAAACTGCTTCCATCCAGGTCATGGAGTTATAGCTGTTTGAAAATTTAATAATTTTGTGATATATAACTAGGGCATACTAGATATTTTGTAATATAGAGCCTGTTCCATTATTTTATAGTTTCTCACATTCGTTTTGCCTTAACTAACTCAAATAAAGTGTGCACAGTTTTCCATAGATTTCTGTTACTTCACCTCATTGGTATAATCCCCGTGTCTGAATTTTCAATGAGCATAGGTACATTTTCAGAACACTGCAGAAAAACCAGCCTTCATATGATCATACATATGATTAGCTCAAGGTTCTCTCTGACTGAACTCATATGATTTTTTCACAGCCTGTCAAAACTTGGTTAAGCTTTGGCAGGCTTCCTATTCAGGCCCTGGCCATAGCTTGTTGTGTTTTGCAAATCCAGCAAGGGTGGGTTGCTGACATGCTTAACAAAGCATCCAAACTCCTAAAACAGTCAACGGGTTCTTAATCACCCCAACAACCCACCCACAGCAGGTTCACACCACAGAACAAGCCATGGCAGAATACAAGTATAAAAAATCATTCATTGATTCCTGAAATTGCTGGCCACTGCCCTGTGAGGTAAAAAGACCCTCTGGCACTTGGCATCTGGACCTGAGCAGTTGAACATGGATAACCTTTTCCAAACACTGCTAAAGCACCACTGTGGCGGAGGGGAGAGTTGGACGGGGGCTCAAAAGGTCCAGGTCCTTGTCCCCACTCAGCCGTGAAGCTCACTGGGTGACTCTGGGCCAGTCACTGACTGGCTCTTAGCCTAACCTCCATCGCAGGGTCATGTGGATCAATGTAAGCTTCCTTGGGTTCCTTGCAAGATGAAGAAAGGCCAGAGATAAGTGTAAATGACAACAGCTACCACTGCCTGGGCACTGCGTTGCCAAAGCTCCACTGCAAAGCATCAAGCTGCTATAGTCAATTTCCAGTCCCATTATTAGTGACATGTCTTTCTTTCCCTTAATTAGCTTTTTGCCGTCCTCCTTGTAAGAACAATGGACAGTGTGTGAGAAACAACTTGTGCTCTTGTATGGAAGGCTATGTTGGAAGAAGGTGCCAGAAAAGTAAGTTTTTCATTTCTCTTTAACTTTCCAAATATTTCCTGATCGGAAATACATTGCAGTCCAGGGAGGTATCTTATTTCAAGCATGTTAAACAGGACATTTAGCTTGGATTAATGCACTAATCTTCTATTTTTGTATTGTGGCACGTATTCCAGTAGTCTTCCTACAAAAGGAAGTACATCCTATTACTAAAGGTTTGCATACACCATGTCCCAGTGTATTAACGTTGCTATCACTGCATCAAGGAAATGAAAGAGTTTAAGCCTATTTGGCTCAGATCCTGTCTATGTATATATTTAACTTCATTCTAACAGAACTGAACAAATCTGTCATGTAAGATGAGCTAATTAGATGGAATTAAGCTTAGAAAAATTATTAAAGCCCAATCCACAGCCACTGACTGAGACCAACTACATGTCATTGCACTATCTGTCTAACCCAATTAATACAGTTAGTTAATAAGTTTTTGCTTTACATCTTTGTTCCTATCACTCACAGCTCTTTCTCTACACTCTCACATATCTATTCATGTTTGATTCCTAAGGGGCAGATTTGTAATTTCAGCAATTGTACAAATTCTGCAGCACTTTCCCAGGTCTGTCATTCAGAGCATTTAAGACAGGTGAAAATTCATTGTCTCCAACTACTCTTGATATACACACATACCTACTTGAAAGTCACAAGGAGGGAGTGCTGAAATAACCATATGTGGCATGAAAAAGCTGTGTATTTCCAAAGCACTTTTATCTTTCACACAAAGAAAAAAAGCCATTGAAACTTTCCTTCCAGCAACGCAAGCTGCCGCACTCCCGACATTGCCCTGCTACTTCCTTCAGCTGAGAAAACAATGCAGCAAGATTCTAGCTTGCTTGTGAAATACACGACTAGATAGTAGGGCATGGCTGGAGGAATCTGGCAGGAAGTGGAGCAAAAGAGATGACGTGGTCTTCTGGCACCTCCTTTGTAAGGTCAAGGTACATTAGAGAAGTGCTGTTTCTGCATTAGAAATCTATACCTACTATTTCTCAAAGCTGGTCGGGAGGGATGGGAGGAATCATTTAGCACTGACTACTGTTTTTAGAACATCTTCTTCCCCCTTATTTACCTGTGGCTACTTCCACAAGATTGCTTCTGACAATTTACCCCGCTTTCAAGGTAGTTACTTGAAAGGTTTTTCTGCATTTCCTAGAGAAAGTTTTGAGTTAGGCAAGTAGATTGTTGAGTACTAAAGCATATTATTATGCAGTGTATGCCTTTCTGAGTGTAGTAAAGTAATGCAGAAATAATGGGTGGCCACTCTAAAATGTAGCCATGTGTCTGCCTAGAGTAATGGGAGAAATACAGTGCATGCAAATGTGCGTGACAAAACCCCAATGGAGGAATTTTAAGAGGCGTGTAGAGACGTTGACTCAGTTGCTGGTTTGTTGGTTGGCTGGTTGGTTGTATCATCTTCCCAAGATGATGCACATTTACCCTCCCAAATACGCACCTAGTGCTCCACAGGGGAAGAAATAGCTTGGAGCTGAGTGGCTGCAGAAATGCAATGCATAGGAAAGGGATAAACACAAAACAAAAACAATTCTTCAGCCTCTCTCTCCACTCCAACTTGTTTTTCCAGGCCGAGGCTGGTTTGCTGTTATAAAGCAGCTGTTAAGATTTTGGCACTTGCTTTTCTCCACAAGTTGTAATTCCACCATCATGGATTCATTTTTCAGGGCTGTTGCTGTGATAAGCCAATGTGATGCGCTTGCATCGGGTCGCTGGGGAGGAAAAGCAGGAGCACAATGCTGCCCCGACCCCTCCCCAGGCTAGCACCATGACCCACGCGTGCGGCGTATTGTCATCTTGCAGACAACTTTGGAGGGTTGCAGAGCAATTTGGTCCCCTGGCACCCAACTTGGCTGGAAAGGAGGGCTACTACTATCCATTAGGAAGAGGAAGGATGCCCGAATGGAACCAAGCCTTCCTACATTTTCCTGTTTGTCTTCACTGTGCAGTTTCACCTTCTTCCTGTCTTTGGCTAGAATGAGACACAGTGGTCTGCTGCCTACCTACGATCCTCTAGATTCCACTTGCCAGTGAACTGCTGATGTTGTTTGCACAATATTTATTTATTTAAAACATTTCTATGCCGCCCCATCGCAACAAAGCCTCGGGGCGGCTCACAACACATAAATAAATACAGAAGTAATAAAATAAATAAATACTAAAGTATACAATAAATAACACCCCCCCCAGTGCATTCTCGGCTAATAAAAAAACCCCAAAACCCTAGTTAATAAATAATTAACAGTTAAAATAAGTTTTAAATAAAAAGGTCTTAGCCTGGCGCCAAAAAACAAATAACGCCGGGCCAGGCGGACATCTCTGGGGAGCGCATTCCATAGATGGGGCGCCACCGCAGAGAAAGCCCTCCTCCGGGTGCTCACCCTCCTAATCTCATTCACAGAGGGTTCCCGGAGGAGGGCATCTGCTGCAAATACACACCCTCATGAAGTCCCTCTTGAGTAGACATTGTAAGGCTACGAAACTGCCGCACTCCTAGACACGCTTGCTAGCCAGGGGTAGGCCACATGGAATCCCTGGGCAAAAATGTCCCCCCGCCTTTCTTGGTGTCAATCAGGTTGCCCTAATATCCCCACTTGCTTTTAAAAGTAACACGTTCTCTTGTTGGAAAAGCTAGGGCTGCTGTGAAATAAGTTTCTGTTGGTACTGAAAACTGCGGCTTCAAAGGAGTTGTTTAATGTGCAAAGATCCAAGTCTCTGGCTCTTGCACCATTCCTTGAGCAGGTTACTTGTCCACATTTCCCACATCAGCCATTTTGTGGTGGTGCTCACGACAGTTTCTCACATTGCCAAATGTGCCCATAGCTCAAACAGTGTGCCTGCCCCCATACTATCCCACTGATCATAGCAAGCCTTTTTTCTGAGTAAGCATGCCCAGGGTTCTACTATCAATTTCTCAGAAAACAACAGGAGAAAAAGATCTTCTGAGAAATACCAGCTTTTTTTCCAGTCAGGTTGTTCATAAATACCACTAATTCAAAATCACGTGTAGTCAGGTCATCCTCACCGCACCTTTGAAATGCATGAAAAAGATATCAATCAGACTTGACTGCTGAGCCAATTTCACATTTAATTTTCTTTTGCCAATGCAGAGCAAGTAATTGCTGTAACTATTCATGTGCTCTCCCTTACTGCCTAATTGGCATTGCTGCTTTGCAGCAACCCTATTTTTCCTTGATCACTTCAGCTCACCTGCCTTCCCTGTTACACCAGATGATTTACATAGTGCAGGGGGTCAAACAGATTTGTTAACTAAACAGTCCAGGCAGAACAGTAGATGAAACACCAGGAAAATTCTTTTTCCTCTCATCCCTTCATTGACACTAAGCATCCCGTTTCTAATTACTAGCAAATGGATTTTCCTTTCCTCAGTTTCACCTTCTGCTCGATGCTGACAATATTGTACTTGGCACCCTGTGGTTCCAGCTGTTTAGCAGTACAATCCAATACACTTACTTGGGAGTTGGTTCAATTGAACTCAGTAGCACATGCTGAGGATAAGGCAGGAAGATTAAAAAATGAATATCAAAGCCGTACTTCCTTCACTTCACCGTGGCTCCTCTTTGTCATGCCTGTGCTGCCAGAAGTATCTTCATCAGAAGCTGATCTACAGCATCCTGAGCCAGAGGTTTCTGGGGATGAAGCTGTGTCAGAGACCTTGAAGCGGATCAAAAGCTCTTGGACCCCCACCAGAGATAGGCTTCAGATATTCCTCCCAAACTGGTGAAAAGCTGCTGAGCCAACATGCAGCCCCAAGAACACTGGTGCCTGAAGGTACAGACCAAGGCCACAGCTAGGGGAAGGAGTGCTTAAGATCCCCTGCAAGGACAAAGGCATCCTCTAGAGCAAGGCCATCCTCATGGGGACCTGTGATGCACTGCAGCTAGCCCTGGGCAGGGCTCTGGGAGCTCAGGCTAGCAGAGCCTTCAGTCAAGACCTACGGGATGCTGCGACAATGCTATTCTGCCTGCTCCGGCAGCGTGTGTCCGTGCTTGTACTCTGTTTCACGGCCGATCTTCTGGGCTGCTGAGCTTTGTAACCCTGTTTGACTCTGCCATTCAGGCTGGGTTTGTATTGGATTGTTTTTGACCTGAACCGTGCCATCTCTTGGAGTTTTTCCCTGTGACCGGTAACACCGTCCATTTACTGACTTGCTCTCAGATTTATCTCTTTGTCTTAGTACTGAGACTAATCCACCTTAACAGAACCATACATAGAGAAGTGTTGCTAGTGTGTTTCCTGATTAAAACAGGCCCTATGCCATAGGCCACAACATTGACTTTATGGAATAATGATGGATGCATGTTTGCCTTGTGAAATGTGCCTCCCCCCCATACATTTAAGATTGGAGCAGAACTTAGAGTGTATAGAATATGAATGTAGATAATCTGTTTCATTCAAAGTGCCTGCCACTGACTGGCAACCACCCGCTCAAACACCTTGGTCAGAACAGGAATATTGGCTACTGGCCTGTAGTTGTCATCTAGGTAAAACTTTTTAGAAGTGGCCTAAATGCAATCTCCTTTAAAGATGCTAGCACCGTTCCTCTTTCGAGGAGGAGTTTAGAACCTCCTGGACTTAGCTTCATATCCCCCTTAGCTTCATTAGACACAATAAATCTGAAGGGCAAGGGTCAAGCAAAGAGCCAGTTGACCAGACTTGGACAAGCATTGTCCACATCCTCAGATGTTGACCACTGAAGTGCATTCAATAAAACAGGACCAGAAGCTGCTTTAGACAACTCTACTCCTGAAACTGTCTTAATTGTGGTTTCCAGTTTGTGACAGATCAGAACAACTTTATGTTCAAAATGCCATACTAACTTGTCACAATGTGCTACTGAGGGTTCTCCCGTTCCTTTCCATGGCCCAGATCGTAGCAGTCCATGAACCATTCTGAAAAACTCTTGCTGGATAACACGGAGAAGATGCAAT